AAACAAGGAAGACTCACTTTGAAATTCTCCATTAAACTCACTTTACCCGTGGTGGGCAGAGCACAGATAGCCCATTGTGTAGCTTTGTGCTTAATTACAAACAAACAAGGAAGACTCACTTTGAAATTCTCCATTAAACTCACTTTACCACAATTTTAGAAGTCTTATTAAAAAAATTAATTTCGTTGATAATAATAAATGTACATTATTAATATGGAAAGAAGTACCATATCTTCATTAAGGATGCAATTTAGGAAAATATAAAATAAAGTCCTATTATTTTCTCAATTTTAGAGAGGGTATATTTTATAACATTTTTCATTTTCATTTCACAGTGACTGAGCAAGACAGAACAGTTAGGCCAGGTGGTTAGGGAGCTCGACTCGCAGTCTATGGGTCGCGGGTTCGAATCCCCGTCCCACTAAACATCCTCGCCGTTTCAGCCGTGGGGGCGTTATAATGTTACGGTCAATCCCACTATTCGTTGTTCAAAGAGTAGCCCAAGAGTTGGCGGTGGGTAGTGAAGACTAGCTGCCTTCCCTCTAGTCTTACACTGGTAAATTAGGGACGGCTAGCTCAGATAGCCCTCGTGTAGCTTTGCGCGAAATCCAGAACAAACAGAACAGCTAATGATATTGGATTATCTTGAAAGGACAACATTCGTTAGTGACGGAGCGAAACAGAACAACTAACAAGACAAAAATGTTATATCTAACCATAAACTGACAGGAAGTCGTTAAAATGCGTGTTTACACACTTAGATCGCTCATCAATCATTCACTTTACTTGTCTACACCCCAATAAGAAGAACAAAATTTAAAAGCAGTGGAGTAATAAGAAAAAAAATATTCGTTTGTTTTGTTTTTTTACTCCTTGGCATTCTAAACAGTACACAAAATACCCTCAGCATCAAACACGTAACTTTAAGTGCTTTAGCAATGTCTATTTTTACATTTTAGGGATAAAAAAACAAACAAAACGCGCCAGGTTTTAGTAAAATCAAAGTCACTTACCTCCTCAGAAAGCTGTGTTCCAAAATTCACCCATGTGCCTGTAAACCACAAATATCAGTTTCGGTATAGTTAGTTTTACCACATTTTGATAAAGCAGATAATGTAGTTGTTGCCGTAAAAAATTTCAGTAGCTTTAAAAATACAAATACAGCCCGCCTTTTTTTGGAGTGTTATATTACTTTGAAGTAATACAGCCTTGTCAAGTATATTTACGTATACAATAAACGTGAAGATTTTGAACATATCAATTTGTATATAAAAATACCCGCAAAACATACTACATACATGTATATATCTCTATACCACATATTAAACTGTGTATCATTAATATATCTAATTATAAATGCATCTAATATACTAAACAGGAATATATTTTCTACAGATGTCAGTTATAACTGAAACCAAACAACTTAAATATACAACAATAGTTCTTACCTAATCCGATGCTCGATATTTTCAGACCCGACTTTCCAAGGTTTCTAGAAAATACAATATGAATACGATTTATTCCGTCCAATGCAGTGAAAACATTATTTTAAGTTGTTAACATTCACCAAAAATATAATGTATCTGTTATTGTTAGTTTCGCTAAATGTGTTATTGAAGAACTTTTTACTCACTCGAAAAGCACTTTTTTTTTTAGTTTTGTGTCGATTTTAATAGAGTTAAAACGTTTTCATTGTTTAATTAATCAACGTCTAAATGTATATATTGCTCTTCAGAGGGTACTTAAAGACATTTTCAGTTAAAATAAACTTTTAACTTCTCAGAAACAATAACTATAACTATCAACAAAAGAGAAATAGGCTATCGTTAGATAATACACACACATATATATATGTATCTTGGTGTTATTACTTAAAGGTTGAATATTGACTCTTGAGTTAGGGGCCAAGCCAGACTGTTTTTATGAATGTTTTTTTGTTTTATTTTCTAATAAGGAGACTTTCAATTAGTTTTCTACCAACATAAATATAATTTTTGACACTATTTCTGTTATAAAAGGACTTTTAGACATAGGTTGTTCCTAATGGTAGTGAGCATAGGGTGAACCTGATGGAGGCCTATTGCCGAAACTATAGTCGTGATTAAATATCTTTATTTGTAAAGGTGTTATTTTAGGGTAATAAATTTATTAACTTCTGGACAAACAAATAGGATATGATTGTAGGACTATCTACATCTTATTAACTTCTGGACAAACAAATAGGATATGATTGTAGGACTACCTACGTCTTATTAACTTCTGGACAAACAAATAGGATATGATTGTAGGACTACCTACGTCTTATTAACTTCTGAACAAACAAATAGGTTATGATTGTAGGACTACCTACGTCTTATTAACTTCTGGACAAACAAATAGGATATTATTGTAGGACTACCTACGTCTTATTAACTTCTGGACAAACAAATAGGATAT